TACATGTTTCTTGGAGGGATCTCCGACCATGTTGGCTTTAGCAATATCTCCACATTTAGCTTTTGTGTTGCTTTATGTTGTCCTCCTCTATCCGGATTCGAATAATCAGATCTTTAAGTCTTACTTGCTTTAGCTCATGCTTCAACCTCTGCTTAAAGTTGCTCCAACTCGGGGATAATTTATCGATCATCACACTCGTGATGAACTTTTCTGGTAGTGACATCTCCTCGTCGATAACAAAGTGGACAATGTGTTGAATTCTTCCATTTGTTCAACGACAAATTTGTCATCTACATTTAATAGTCCATAAACCGGATCACAACAAACATTTTGAACCTGATATTCTCGAACTTATATTTTTTTCTCAAGGGCATCCCACAGTCCTTTCGCACTCTTTATTTTATAATATAAATTATAAAGAGAGATAGAGAGACTACCTAATATGGTATTATTTGTCATGTATAATCCATGTGCCCACAATGCATAATTCGCATGTGTCTTCTGATCCGCATAAGGCTCTAAGGTAGTTGAACCATCGTGCAACACAAACATGAAACCCAATCGCAGTCAGGTAGAAGAGCATCTTCTCCTGCCACATCTTAAAGTCCATTCTAGTGAATGGTTGTGGAACTGGTACATGGGGCATTATCCGTGGGCCAAGCCCATGATAAGCAGTTTGGGCCGCGAAAGCAATAGAGGGTGTGGCCAGAAACCTAGGAAAACCCTCACATCCGCCTGAGCCAAACACAAAAAACACAAGACTATCCATAAAGAAAATCTGCCCAATTGAGGGAGTAGCAACTCCAGTGGAAGCTCCGGAAACTCCTCTGGCAGCAGCTTCAACAACTCCTCCAACTCCGGCGATTTCGGCAGGGGTTGACATTCTCGCAAAGTAGTATTTAATTTCGATTGTTTGTTTAATGGGTATTACAGAAAGTAAATGTACCGTGAAACCACGTTGAGGATGAATCATCTTTTCGAAAATTAAATACACCCTAATAGTGCCTTCAATGGCCGGCTTTCTAACCCAAAGATAAAACAGTTTCCATCTCCTATGAGAGTGACACCTCAGATCATCGAAGCTCCGGCGAACAAAATGAGAAAGAAATTGAGCTGGAGAGGCTGCCAGAAAGTAAGGAGATATGAGAAAAGGAGGAGAGAATGTTGTTGGTGTATTTAGAATGAAGGGGGGGCATTTATATAGGCATCTCCACTCGGCCAAAATGACAAGGGATCATTTATGATCATAATTATGACCTTAATGGCCGATGTAATTTATTCTAATTTCGAACATTCCGTTTGAGGCGGTTGTAATTGATTCTAATAACAAACTCTCCGTTTGTAATGATCGTAATTTATTCTAATTTCAAACATTATGTTTGAGACGATTGTAGTTTATTCTAATTTCAAATATTCCGTTTGAGATTGTAATAAATCCATTCAATGGATAATATTTTATCCAAATAACACTGCAAGTTAGGTCATATACCTGAGTTTAAAGTGCCCTGCACAATTTGGTTTGTCTCGAGACAGACAAAATAGCCAAATTATTCAGCCCTATATACAATAAATAAATAATATTTATTTATTTCATCCAAATTAATCTATTTAATTTGGTTTACCGGTCCGTCCTATTTTCAATCATCAATTAATAGATCGCATAAATAACCGGTTATCTAACAATTTATACAAAATTATAATTAATATACAAAAAATCATATGAATTAATATTTAAATTGAATTATATATTAATAATTATTTTATATAATTAAAATATTCAATATTATTTAATTTATTTATTTTTAAATGTAATTTAATAAAAAATTATATTTACAATTATATATAATATTAATTTAAAATAATTAATATAAAATTTATATATTTAAATATAAATAAATAAATATATTTATCTTTTATGTGGAGAAGAGAAAAAAGCAGGAGGAGCCTATTGTTATTTTAACTTTCTTCTATCCAACTTTTTGAAAACAACATTTGAATTGTATATATAGCTAGCTTTCTTTCTGAACCAGGAACATTCTTCTTTAGGTAGTCTTACTTTCCCGTCGGATCTAATTTGCAGGGTATTAAGTTCGATCGGAGGTTTACCTGATGTGCATTTTCGGGTAGCAACTGCAGATTTTCACGTTATTAAAAAAAAAAAAACAAAACAATTCTTTTTTCTTAAAAAAAAATGGTTTTATTATGTGATAAAATAAGATGGCATCAGAACAAGTAGAATCAACCACCATTGTATATGCTTTTATGACACTTTTTGAATGACTTAGAGACTATAATTTAATTTCTTCTTAAAAAATATTGAAGATATTCCGTTGATAAATTTTATTTTATTTTAGTTTTGATTTTGATTTTTACTTGAATAATAATTTAAATGTTAAATAATAGTATATTTATAAAAAATCATAATAATTAAATAGTAAATAAAATGTCAAAATCAACATAATTATTACATCCAATACATATTTTTAATGAAAAAACATTAATTTTTATATAAATTTTAAAATAACTCATATGTTACTTCGACTTAAAAAGAAGTCACGGTCACTGTAGTTGGACGATTGCTTCCTCCACAACTTAGGATTGCAATAATTAGGCCCCACAACCTCGCTCTCCGGCCACAAACCTCCTTATCATATACATGAAGCCTATATAATCGAGGTGGCGGCGGCGGCGATAAAGGTGGTGGATAATACCAATGGTGGTGGGGATGGTTATGGCAGCGAGACGGCCTTCTTCTAATATCATTGAACTCTATGTTTGTTAAAAACTTTGAATTAATTCCAAACAAAAACAATTGCCATTTGGCCTTCCATGATGTAGGAGGAGGAGGAGGAGGAGGAGAAGAAAAATTCAGAGGGCAGGAAACCTTATGCATGGTAAAATTACAATAATGCCCTTCTCTCGGATTGTTGTAGTTGTACAATTTTCTTGGTGGCTTGCACTTCATGGAATCTACATCCCGAGTGAACTTGGTAACGATGGATTGCCTCTTGGAAGTGTTTGTCGTGATGAGCTTTCCGCAAAATATGATGTCAAGTTCCGGTGTGGCGGACGGAGGGTTGAGTCCGTGTCCTAAGAACTCAAAACAATCGGAGGATGTGGCGGGAGTAGAATCCAACGGTTGTGATTGAGTTTGGTTGGTGTAGAGTTGGAGATCGCAGAGAGAAAGGGTTTCATGGTCATCTTCTTTGTGGTCGCTATTGTCGTCATCGTTGCCGCCACCATGGCGGCGGAGGGCTTCTCCTAAAAACGGTTTTTCAGCTGCCATTGTTGGTTCTTTGGAGAGGTCACTAAAAGATGTGTATATAAATGTACATTCATTTGTGTGTATATGTATGATGTTGTATGTCTTTGAGCTTTCAAGAGTGGTGCTCACGTACAACTATCAATTTTAATTGTTTTTTTTCATCAAATAGGAGATGGATTTACACAAATATGAGAGAGATTTTACAAATTAAAAAATTCATTACAATGATTTATATTTCCTTGGATAAGAATTTTGACCAAAACCAAGATATATTCTTACCTTGACAAGTTTTATTTTGTACAGTTTCTTATCAAAATTAGTGCCAAATTTTAAAATTTTCGATACTTAATACAAATTCAAGAAAATTCGAGTTGAGATTTTGAAAATAATAATATAATAGGTTGGCTTTATTTAGATGAAAGTGAAATAAAATTGTGATTGATTGATTATATTGGGTGGATAGTCTAATCATACATATCAAAATTTAAAATGATAACAATTTTGAATGAACATTCAACAAATATAGAGTGTGCTATGTCTGTACGTTCTTTTGGGTGTTACGATTTATATTTTGATTCATTAGTACAGAAAAGAATAGTATATTTTATGACAAGATTGATTTGAAGTAAATGTAGAATTTTATTTTTATTTAAAAGAAAAATAAAAATTACTAGATAAAAATGAATTACAAATTTAACAATATATATTTATTTATTTAAAATATTACATCAATAACCTACTTTTTTATTCAAAACATTACATCCAATACTATATACATTATTTTTTATTATTTTTTTAAAATTTCAAAATACTTCCAAAACTCTTCTAAACACATCCATAATGTACAGATAAAACTAGAACCGTCAAAATGGGTTGAGTCCGTTGGGTTGGCCCGCCCCACTAACCCGTTTTGACAGGTCTAGATAAAACCACCTGTTTAATTGTAATTTCAATTATAAAATGTTACTAGCACATAAAACAAAAAAAAAAATGTCATTATGTAAGTTGTTCAAAGGACATGTGACTAGGCAATGTTTAAAAAAGTGAACACCAACCCTTATCATTGAAATATATATATATATATATATAAACAAGACATGTCAAAATTCCTAATGTCTGTTGCTGATGCTGCATCAATGTAAGGTACAGATAGAACGATTATATAAATACAAAAAATAAGAATGCATTCAATTAATTCAGTTGAATTGAACAATCATTTTATTTATTCAATTAGCTATTCAATCATTTTATTATTCACTTTTCAAGTTTCTGAAGAAGCTTCTGAATGTCACATAATGATGAACTTAGCCTTATTCATTCCATGCTTCAGTATTGCATACATGAAAAAAGAAAAAAAATATTAACATATATATAAGAATAATAAAATAAATCCTTAATGAGCAACAGTAGCATCCATTGGGCTTGCTAGTAATGTGGGATCTCATCCAACATGAATATATATATATATATATTTATATTTAAATATAAAATCCATAATGGAGTCAATGGAGTCCATATATGTTTATATAAGAATACCAAAAAACATCACTCAAAATGCAATTCCTAACCATATCATTGATTTCAACTTGGCAAGACCAAATTATATGTACTTAATAAAGGTAAATTTTACATGCATCACTGGTATATAGATTTTATTCAAAACTCAGCTTTACATTAAAAAATTAAAAAATAAAAAAAGAAGCTAGATACATAATTTACCCTACTTAAAAATAAAAAAAAAAACAATTTCAAACTACACACAAATTCATGTAGTTTAAAATGATCAAATCACAAATGTAGCAATAGGATTGTGTATTGAAGGATATCAAAGTAGGGTGAAAAAGCAAAGTTGCAGTAACCTATTGAGGCAAAGGAAAAGCTAATGAATATTCCCTAGAGTAAGAAGAACATAGCAGTAACTGAACAAACTCAAATTTAAAAGGGTGTTAGCTTGGTACCTCGATGAGAATCTACTCAGGATTGGAATTGTCTTCGGATCTCCGATATTCAGGTTTGAGCTCGTAGGATCCTTGGTTGGCTCCCTTGTTGTTGTACACACACAGCACCTTAAGCATGTCTTTAAGAAATTGCTGCATGCCACAGAAAGATGCAATGCATGTACAGTTATATCTCAAATTGTGTTGCTGTTTCAACCTTCGAGGAAGAGTAGTTGAATTCGTACCTCAGGTTGATCTGTCCTCTGGATCAGGTTTTTCAGTGTCCAGTTTGGCTGTTTCTCAAAGAGCTTGAACAGGATCTTTTCCATTTCGTCAGGGTCTCTTCTGGTTCTCTTTGTTTCCGACCCCTTTGCTGGATTCTTTTTCTTTTCCTTTTCAGGAAGGACAGCATTTTATGGATTATAGAATCAGCAGAATGTTGCACTTATTTGAGGTACAGTGTTTACATACCATTGTTATCGATCCAGAAGTCTTAAAATCAAGCATCCCTGGCATTGGCCTCATGCGCATTCCATTATCATCATTGATAATCTGTATAAGATCAACGGTATTTGTCGGGCACGATGCATAAGTGGTGATTATTACTTCTACAGTTAGATTCGAGACAGTAAATAAATCACCTGTATTTGTCTAGTTTTTGTCATGTACTTATTTGTTCTCTCCCGACATAGTTTTGCATAGCCTTCGATACTTTTGTCATGAGGCTTCATATCAAACTTATTATAGATTTTCCCCTCCACAGAAGGTTTCCCTATATTAGAATAAAATGGACGAATCTTAATATACAGGAATCCTAACATTGACAGAAATAACCAAGCAAATACATACACTAACGAAAGCAACAAACACATACTATCAAATAAATAAATAACTTCCCTGAGACAATCTAATTTGATTAAAAGTATTCTTTTAATTACATTAGCAAAAGACATAACACATAGTTAAAAAGTAGGAGGCCACAAGAAAGGAATAACTTGGCTCAAATCTTGCAGGTCTCATTTCTTGTTAGGGGTTCATATAAAGAATTTATTATGAAAACATACACATTTCTTCTTTGCACTTTTTAACGATGCCACCTAATTCCGAAAGACCTTCAATAATTTTTAGTTACCGGGGGGGATATTCACATTATTGGACTCATGGAATTATATGCTTAGAATTTTATAAATCAGGGCAGTACTAAGAGACACTGTCATATAAGTTGAAAAAATGAGGCACTGGTCAGCAAAGAAACTTTTACTGAGATCATATAAGAGAAATCCCCATTTGTAAGATCAACACATATAAATACTCTTCTAGACCTTACAGATGGGGTGCATATCCTTATATAAGTAAATAAAGGTGAAAATAATTCACATTGCTCAAGCATACCATAATAAACAGGTGCGTGTACCTTCAGACGACTCAGAAAATACACACATAGGAATAAAATCAGTGGACATATCCAGCGAATAGCTGCTGGGCATGTTTGTATCTGCAGTGCCAGCCAACTCCATGGTAAACTGATAACCAAGTAGATTTGAAAGGTAAAGATAATGGAGTCCATGAAAGAATCTCATTAGATGGGATGGAAGAAGATAGACATCACTAAAACATAAAGAAATCAAAGGGTGGATATGTGGGGAACATCTTTACACAAAGAAGAGAGGATTCACAAAACATCAAGAATGAAAATTGCCTCCATACCTAATATATATACCCGTATATAACTCCTATTCATTTTCATCACATCCCAAATGAAAATCCAATCCTAAACTAAAATGTGTATCTTGAATTTAATCTTTCAATCAAACAGATGGTTCATATAGTTTAAGGAAAAGCTCTATAGATAGATTCACAAATCATGCACTTTTGCATAACATTGAAAATCCATATTAAGCAAACAAAAGGCAGCAAAGGTAAGGACCGTTGGCATGGATTAAACAAAGGGAGTCCCTAGCAGTACCACCACATTTATCATAAATTGCCAATTCACAAGAAATATCACCATGTTCATATGCGAAAAATCCTTAAACTAAAACAGGAATCGTCATGATATATATATATATTAATACATGTATAAGCATGGCTACAAACACACATAATGTTAACCTGAGAGAGAGAACAACATCATTCCAAGGTTAAGAGAAAATCAACATGATTTTCAACTGGCTTAGTTCTACAGAAAACAATAAAAAGAAAGAAACAAAAAGTAATGAGTAAATGCATTACAATATCAAAATAAAGTAAAATTTTCTCCAAGAATTCACCACCTGTAAAAGCCTTTCTGTATATCCCTAACCTCATTGCTAACATTCCTACCCAAAGTAGGATTAATGAGAAATTGGTGAATGCAGATTGAGATTCTTCCGAACACATAGAGAGATACAAAATTAGATGGTCGCGATAGTAATTTAGAAACAGATAATCAATAAATCTCAGAGAAAACGGCAGTGCCCACACTAAAAACTCATACTCATACAATTTAACTGAAAAAAAAAAAAAAAAAAAACTAAAATCGATGGAGAAAAACCGAATCAGAAACGGGAGGCGCAGACGCGATCGACACGCCAGTAGAGAAGGCTACGCATTGAGCATGGCGGCGGATTTACCTGAGTAGAGGATAAATCGTCGTTAGGACGCAGCGGATCAACGGCGACGATCACTTTAGCGACGGTACGGCCAGCGGCAGGGTCGTTTGGGAAGGACGGGTGTTGGTTGTTCTGCTGCATGGCGCGCGCGACCACGGGAGGGCATTTCATGAGCCAGACGTGGCGCTCCGCCTTGCTCGTCTCCAAGGTGCTATTGCCGCTGGATTTATCCGCCATGGAAACGCGGACGCGGTGGCTGTGAGTGTGAAAGAGCGATGGCTGCAAATTTGTTGAACGTATCTATTGTTAACACATTTATACTGATTTTCTTGAGGTAATTTAATTTAGTTTTTTTTTTTCCTTTAAAAAACATTTAATATATAAATATATATATTTGATTTAGAAACATTATAATTAAATACCAATATTATAAAATTACTACTATAACTTACTTTATTTCCCCGGGATATTACAATCGAAAAGTAACGATGGCATATTGTTACGATTATTAAAAAAATACTTCTACTATTAAAAAGATTCTATCATACAAAAGTAGGTCTATTTTCTTTTATCTAATTAAAATTAAAAGTAGATATATATATATTTTACTACTCCTTCCATCGAGAATTATATATTTAATTTTTTATTTGAATAATATAATGAAATAAATATTATATATATTTATATGTATATATAAATATGTAAATTTATATTTATTTTTTAAATGTAGATTAATTGGGCAATAAAAATAAAATAATTTTGAATGAAAAATTGGATAAAAATACAAGAAAAAAATTATTTAAATAAATATAATCAATATTAAATTTAGTTCAATTAGTGCTATGCACATTTTGGAAAACAATAGGCTGGAAGGCAACAAAAAATAAGCTTTCACTAAATCTCTCTAAAAGAAGTGAAAATGCATAAGTTGTTGCAACTTTGAAATAATTGAGATAAGAAAATAAAATAGTTAAATCTGACTTGATTTCATTAGTGTTGTTGAATTCGAATATGCAAATTAATAGAGGATTTTCTGTTGTTCAAGCCTACGACCCTTTTGAAAAAACCATAGGTTTCTACCGTTATTTTCACAATGAGATATGAAGAATAATGAATATTGCGACCTAAACATAGATCACAACCATAATATATATTCCTTATCATTAATTAGCCTCATTACTCAATTAATAAAGCTCGCATTCCTAAATATATTTAAACCCAATAAATTTAATAGATCACTTAATCTGACTGATAAGCCCAAATACGTAAATGTAAACTGAATAACCTTACGAGCTCTTGAAAATTTTGCTATCATATTCTTTAATGTATTTTACCAATTTTATCTGTAAATCACATTAATGTGGATCAACGCGGCCATCACTGCATGTAAGGAGACGGATTAGTGGTCACAATATTAATATAACTTAATATTCGATCAAGTGCGGATGCACAACATTGAAATTTCATGTAATGTGATCTTAAGATGCATATTTACAACTGATCCACTAATGATAACTGAATACTAAAAACTAAACTCTGAATACTGAATTCTGCACATTGAATACTGAATACTGAATACTGCACATTGAATATTGAACATTGAATATTGAATTGTGCAATGTAAACCAAAGTAACTTTAATAGCATTTGAACATTAATAATCAGCTCCCACTAAACCAAAGTATCAAAATATGTAACCACTCTCATACGAGCAATATGCTCACTTTAGAACTTATGTGACAACCATTTAGTAATTAAGCGGATCCGCAATCATTGAAGCGATAAGAATATGTTCAATAATTATTCATGCTTTGAAACCATAAAATTAAGCAAATAAAGATTATTATCATCAAACAATGTACTGGTTCCAACCAATTTTAAATTCTGGAAGAAACTAAAACTTTATTTTCGAATGAACTATAATAACTGAATTTGTTCAAAATAGAGATTAAAACAAATTCCGTCTAAAGACGATACCATAAAAAATGTCTCATCCAAATCCAAATAATAATCAGTATTTAATAATAATCTAAAATTGTCAATGACTTCAATTTTAACGTTCTTGTTGTAACCCTTATAGATGTTTCTTTCACCATCAATTTATTTTCGGTAATAAAGACAATCTTGCATAGACACGCTGATGTAAGTTGTTACACTAAATACATCATGCAGGTGTGTCTATGAACTGAAATTATACAAACCAAATTAAGAAAAATGTTTTTCCATCATGTGTCATTCGTGATACTTAGCACAATTATTCTTCTTGTATTCAGGCTTCTTATAAAAGAAGCAAGTCTCTTTTTTAGGATTAGCCCGATGAGCTGGAGATGGAAGTGAGAGCAAGACCAATAAAACCAATATGTCATCCAAAATGTCTAACTTAAGTGCCCACAATTTAGTAACAATATTGAACGTGTTTAGGATGCACTCTATTATGTTACCTTTGTCGTTATACCTCATGGTATAAGACTCTTAAGAAGAGTACTCACTTTCGCATTATCGCTTTTGGTAAAACGTTTCTTAATTCCGACAAAAAATTCATTGACAGTAGTGATATCATCAGATATCATACCCCAAAATTTTATGGAGTGTCTTTTCTTAATGATCATCAGACTTAGTCGTTGGACTTATCCCACTTTCAAACAATTGGTTTTCATCTGTAGTGTTTTTCACCATATGAGTAGGTTAGTCTACTCTTAATGCCAAGTCAAGATTGACGTAACCCAAATGAATAAATATTGGTTGTTTCCAGTGCTTATAGTTGTTCTCATACCATGTTGGGAGCGAAAAACATATATATAAATATTTATAAAGCATAATGAGGCCAAAAAATAATGCATTATCATCCCAAGGCACTAAGTGCAACATCAATAATCAATATTTGAATCAATAACATTGATTGCTAGCAGTCATCTTGTTGCAATAATTATGTACGGACAATAAATAATGTCAAACAATAAACCATTATTTAGACTGGTTCACTATTCACATAAGTTAATCATCGTATATATATTACCGTATATATATTATCGTAGATGTATATTTTATTCTGTCAATTACCAATTGCCTTTGGGCCAAAGAATAATTATATGAATTAAAATACACATAAAAATTTACTTTATCAAGTAAAAATGAGGTTACTTTGGTAACTTCAAATACTTTATCTTCACTGTCAAAATACAACAAGCATTATTAGTGAATTTTTAATATCCTTAAACCAAATTAGAATTAGAATTACATTCAATATATGTGAGTTTGATTCTATAAAAATAAAGAATGTATATAAGCAATTGAATGCACATGTCTATGAACAACTGAATGCACTATGTATGAATTTAAAATAAATTAGCAATCTTATTACAAGCTATCGAGTAACATCAATAATTGCCTTTGGACAAATTATTGACTAGTCAGTGATAAACTTGATCGATATACTTTCACAGATGCCGGACGGCCCATAGTTCTAAAGCCGTTGAGTCCTCGAAAAGTAAATAAAGATAAAAAATACTTGTACAAGCAGCTTGTCGCCGAAGCAAGAGAGAAAATAAACCAAAAGAAAGACAACAATATGGTGAACTATTTCGCTGAATCAACCCAATGTGAAGAGCCCAATTTGAAGTCCTCCTTAGAATCGCCTGCAACAAAAGGTACTCCGCATGCAAGTGCATATACTATCTCACATACCCTAATTACCCCGCAACCTCTCAAATCTTCACCCTCACCAATAAATACATCTACCCCTAGCCACTCTCAAATACTTTACCCTTCTACTAAAAAATCAAAACCAATTGGAATCCTAAACACGAGAGTGAGAGGTCTAATCTTTTTATCTGTAGGAAGAAAGCTTTACGCTTAGGACAGGGTGTTAATTGTTTGCTATTACTTTCTAAATATATTTATTTTTTCATGAATGACTCTAACAAATCTCCATCTAGTTTTGCTAACTTATTGCTAGCGTATGATGATGTTTTTCCTAATGATGTACCCCATGGTTTACCACTCACTTGTGGGATTAAGTGCCAAATTGATTTTGTCCCAGGAGCATCAATTCTTAATCGACTAGCCTATCGAACCAACCCGGATGAGGTGAAAGAAATACGAAAGCAAGTGGAGGATCTACTGAGCAAATGTTGGATTCATGAAAGCCTAAGTCCTTGTGTTGTACCTGTCTTATTGGTGCCAAAATAAGATGGAGGTTGGCTGTGTGTGGATTGCCGAGCCATCATTGCTATAACAGTTAAGTATCTCCATCTCATTCCTAGATTAGATGATATGCTTGATAATTTGAGTGGTTCTTTAATTTTTTCAAAATTCGATATAAAAAGTGGTTATCACCAAATTTGGATGAATCAAGGTGATGAATGGAAAACTGTCTATAAGACTTCTTTTAGCCTATATGAGAGGTCAGTTATACCATTTGAACTTACTAATCCCCCAAACACGTTCAAGCGATTTATAAATCATGTTTTAAGGAATTTTATAAATAAGTTTGTGGTAATATACTTTGATATCATACTTGTCTATAGTAATTCTATTGAAGCACATATTGAACATTTACAAGCAGTTTTAGATGTTTTACGGGCTGAAAAATTGTATGCTACATGCCATTGCCTTGAATTACTCAACATACGATAAGGAATTGTACTCCTTAGTGCGGGCTTTGCTAACATGACAAAATTATTTATGTTCTCGTGAGTTTGTTGTGTACACCGATCATGAATTCATCAAGCATATCAAATCCCAAAGTAGTTGAGTAAGAGACACATCCGATGGATCTCTTTCATTGATACCTTTACCTATGTTGTTAAATACAAAAAAGGTAAAGAAAACATCGTCGCGGATGCATTGTCATGCAGGTATGCACTTGTTACCACACTTGAGTCTAAAATATTAGGTTTTTCATATTTGAAAGAATTATATGATACTTACCCTAATTTCTCCGATATATTTGCTAAATATTATTCACATGCATTTGAAAAATATCATGTACATGATGGGTATTTGCTGAGATAAAATAAATTGTGCATGCCTAAATGCTCTTTGAGAGAATTGTTGATTTGGGAAAGTCATTCTGAAGGTTTGATCGGACACTTTGGTAGGAACATGATAACTAAAGTTTGTATGTTGTAAATTGGTACAAGTTCACAGGGAATTTATATATGAAAATCAGCGAGTGATGTATATAGAAAATCAATCAGATATAGTAAATTTTGTGGTTGTAGACCCTGAGTAGTTATCACAATTATTTATACTCTTTTTACTGGTGAGTTCTCAGGT